TTCAATCTTTTTTTGGGGTTTGCCAGTAATTTTCATATAACAAGAAAAAAACAGAAATAAGCCAAAAAATAAAGTAAAAGGCTCAATTGAGGTCAATGAAGGGGATAAAATAACAAAATATCTATTTTACAAAGAAAAGGAGAAGTCTGCCTGATCAATGGGTGCACATTCACTTGAATCATTGTCCGCTCTCTTAGCCCCTCTTCGAGCACTGGTTTGCCTCAACAATCTGCCAACTCCGTCTCTTGAAATTTCAGCAAGAGTCGCTGCATTAAAAAAATGGTTTACTGCTAGAAAATACAAATTCAATAAACGGCAACAGACGCTGCATTCAATAAGCGATGACTTACACACACCATTAAAAAGATAATAGCTTACTACTACGAATTCCACAAACTTCAAACTACATCATTCTTTGAAAAAATAATCTCAAGATGAGAACCATATAATTTAATTACTAAAAAACTATTCAGAGAAGGAGGGAGCGTTTTCCCCACTCTTTGAATAAAATGAAGTAAACAGAGAAAAAGCAAGACTTGAAGAGCCTGAAACAACCTTTTCCCTTTTTAAGGGAGGAGTCTCTTCCATCTTCTTGTCCAGGATGCGATTCTCCCCCCATTTTTGAAGAAAACGAAACCGAATTAGGGCTTACTGGTTTCGCGCTTTGTTTTGCCGGGCAAGCTTGCGAGTTCTGCTTTCTCGAGGCAGCCCGGGAAAGGCTTGGGTAGTTGGCTTCTCTTTTGTAGAGAGCATAGCGAACTCCCGCGGGAGCATGTTATACAGCGCACTCCCTCGGTAAAGTAGCAACTTTGGAGATTTTTTTTCTTCGTTTTAAATTCTAGGATCCACTTCAGTATTTTTCAGAAAATTAATTTAAAATTTGAATTTTTAAATACCTGGATCATACTCTCAATAATATTTGATTATTTGATTTCAATTTGGGAATAGTCATATTTTGAACAATGTTATCGGGATCGGACCGGCTGTTGAACTGATGATAAGTCTAATCCAATTAAAACTTATCATACAGCCGATTGAACTAGTTTGAACATATTTTAAAAATATGAACTACATTAGAAGAAATTTACCTATTTCATTTGGATGATGAACCATTTGAAAAAGGTTGGTTATGATGTGGGCGTAAGCTCTGAACCCAATAGGTTGATTTTTGCTAAATAAAGTATAAAAAATAAAGTAAAAGACACACCACAATAATACATGCGAGGTTTTTGCTAAATAAAGTATAAAAAATAAAGTAAAAGACACACCACAATAATACATGCGAGGTTCAGGGCTACATCCATGGGTTGAGTAACCTTCGACAAAAATCCAAGTCGAGTAAATTATCTCTCAACGCTCGACAAAAATCCAAGTCGAGTAAACCCTTTCAAACTACTTTCCCTTCTATCTCTTTACTTCTTGAAAACATTATTTATTATATCCGATAAAGATGTAATAGCTTCTCTTTACTTCTTGCAAGTCACCTAAAATCTCCATGGAACCACTTCTTTTCAATAAACAAGCTTCACAATCTTGAGAATCTACAAGAAGCATTATCATAATGTTTCTCTCAGTAAAAATGTTTCTTCTTTAAAAGAAAATTGCATTTTATACACAAGAGGCTCTACCACCCTCTCTCTCTACTGCACTTTCATATCAAATATATAAGATTAGAAGTGCATACTAAATAGGAAACTTCCTATAGATATTATATATATTTAAAAAACCAACAGATATATCTAAGAGTCTTAATCTTTCTTGGATTTATATTTTCTTTATGAAACTTATTAATCTCAATCCCACATAATACAGGAATATCTCAATCCCATATAATATGGGGTTTCTTGTGTGATTTTGGATAATACCAAATCCCATGCCAATGATAAACACTAATTTTGACTTTTTTTTTAGGGAAAAGTTTATATAGAGCCGAGGCTCTAAACAATCAAATTTAAGCCTACCTCAAAAAATTTATTAGAAGAGATGCAGAAATATCTTCAAATCGATCATCTCGACATCAAGATGTATGGACATGAGAAGAAAAAGTATTTCCTGTTTTGAAAATAGTATATTTTGTAACGCATTTTTGGGCCATCAATCTTTAATATTTTACAGTTTTTATAGATATGTCAATCTACATTATTTTTGAAACTTTAAATTTTATAAATAAATATAAAAATATATTTTAAGGCTATTACAAATATTTCTAATATTAAAACCACATTTTTCAATACTATTTGAAGGTAGACTCTAATTTGATTTTTTAGAGCCTAGGCTCTATGCAAACCGCACCCTTTTTTTTATTATATATGGTTTTTACTCCATATTAGACCAGCCAAAGCAGCGTCGGCAATACTCTATCTTAAAAAGAATGTACGACTGGTCAAGAACACTAAGTAGGGCAACTAATTTCTTGGAATGTATATTAAAAAACATATAAAAAATCCTCTCAAAGAGATACTTTATATTCGTTTTACATTTTTTAAGGGTAGACCTTTGATTAAACGCATGAAAGTGTGCAATAGTTTCAAAGGTAGGTAAATAATGGTGCATGGTTAGATAATATAAATTGGCATAAAACAAATTTAAGGGTGCATGTTTCCAATAACCATTTGTTGATCCCTTATTTAAACAACACCGACCTGAAAAATATATATGATCTCATGTGTGTGGTTAAAATTGTGAATAGAGACCTTTTTCTTCTCCCTACAATGATAGACATAAGTAGACATAAATTAATTCTAACTCGATGTGAAGAAGTAAAAGGTCGTTAGAAGAAATAATCATTTATTAACATTATAAATTGAATTCTAACTCTGATGTTTAAAAGTTTTTGAAAAATATATAATGAGACCATTTACCTTTGGTACAAAGTGGTCACAATTAATTTTGACCATTGGATGTGAAATTTAGTGGCTGCATTTATTTCATTGACCAAATTCAAATTTTAAAAGAAATTTTTCTCGAACTTTGTAACACACCCAAACTATCATATTTAACATCGAATGGTTATAAGTAATTATGACCTCTTTGTACCAAAGGTAAATGGTCTCATTGTATACAATCCCAAAAGTTTTTGAGTAAAAAATAAATCATTTTTACTCTTATCCATAACTAAATGGAATAATTTCACTAATTTTGAGTAATTAAACAAAGGGATAAGTTTATAGAGTCGAGGCTCTAAACAATTAAATTAGAGCCTACATCAAAACTTTTACTAAAAGATATTGTTTTGATACCCAAATATCCCCAAATTGATGCTCTCGACATCAAGATGCATGAACATGAGACAAAAATGGATTTCGAGTTTTGAAAATAATGTATTTTATAACGCATTTTTGGACCATCAATTTTCAAGTTTTCATAAACCTGTCTATCTGAGAGTAGCCGAGGTAGTTTTGAATCTCATCAATAAAATGGCCCTATAGAAAGTCCACTTCCCGGTCTCTAGTGAAAATATAAAATATTTACAAATTAGAATCCGTCGCTAGAACAATAAGAATATACCACACAACCACTTCCTTTCCTCTCTTAACATGGTCCAAGAAGATGCAATAAAGACAACATTCACTTTAACTTCAAAGAAACCTATGTTTTAAATAAAATAATTGATTTTATCTAATCAAGTACAGGGCTTTGTCGGTAAAGATAAATCTAATGGATCCAAAGGAAGATCTCGGGATATATCAATGAGCTAGGTTCATGCTACAATTTATATGATCTAACATAGTTAAAATTATTATTGAATTAATTAATCATTCTAACGACATTAATGAAGTGGTTTCACACATAGGAAGTGGTTATATGTGTGAATGCCCATGGTAGATTGGGCAACAAGAAACCATTTACTATTCTCCAAGAAGATTTGTAAAAAAATTTGATCTAAAGTTACATTCTAGTGGACATTACATTTACGTTAAAAAACAAAAGATTCGTACCAATTGTTTGAAACTGTGTCCTTAACCATTAAATAAAACCTTTAATTAAAATATGGGAAAATGTGTCATCATCTTTGAATAGTTAATACTATTTTTAGAGCTTGAAATCCTAAATTTCTTTCACAACCATAATGTTAAAGTCTCGATATAAAGGTTTTCAAATGCTTGACTTTTAATTTTCATTGAGTTATAAGGTGTCGATTTACTTATTTTAATAGGCTGCAACCGTATCAATCAATTTTCATTGATTAAATGAGTGGGAAGCGTGTGAGCTGAGATTTGTATAAGGTGTCAACCTTACACTACTGAAGTATAGTGTACCTTAAAATTATACTGAATGCAGTTTCGGTACCGCAAAGCATTGCAATAACATGAAAACATATTGTTTCCCCCAATTATAAAATTTAAAGTTCCAGAAATGGTGACAATCTAGCAGATTTGTAAACACTTGAAAATCTTGAAAACAGACGATCCAAATAATGTGTTAGAAGACGAACTATATTGAGTACTAAAAATCGCCTTTTTTTTTTTTGTCTATGAATCTAGAGGTTGAAATGACCGATTTGAGGGTTTTTCAGCATAAGAACAGCCTTCTCAAGTAGGTTTTTAGATGCGCCTTATTTGAACAGTCTAAGGTTTGAGACCTTCTATGAATTTTTTCCTAAAAATAAATAGAATCAAAAGGGGTGCAAAAGCTTTAAGTGTGTGTAGGCATCTAAAAGTGGACCTTTTCACAAAGGACATGTTACCCTCACATATGATATATATTTCAATCTCGTAGTACGCTGTTTTATGCGTTTCAAATTACATAAAACTTAGGCAATTTCCAGTATGTGGTTGAGAAGTAGGTTTTGAAGATAACCCTAATAAAGTGATTCCCACAAAAATTAACTTTTAAGTATGAGAAATGGACTGAAATTGGTTTTTTATTTTGGGTAAATGACTCAAACTGTTGCATCTTGAAAAAATTGAGACGGTCTCACCTCTTCAATTGCATA